ATTTGCCCCTTGAAGTACGGCCTGAAATAAAGTTTAACTCTATTGGCCGTTTGGATCCGCATTACAATGCAACAGTACAGTTATGCAGCCATGTGTCCTAAAACAGGGGGGCAACTTGGAGATAAGGCGAGCATATACCTAATCCTGCAAGGGCTTTGGGGTGAAGCGCCGAACACGCGGATTTGCCAGATTCTCACCGCCGCAGACGAGGCCCGGAGTTGACAGGCTTGTTCCTATTACCGATGCGTCTAATCAAACCCAGGTCCTTGAGTATGCTGGAAAAGAAAGATTTGGCCCTGGCGTGTGGGAGTTGAGGGGTGGTAGAGCGGTGTCCCGATACTTTCCGGTTCTAAATTAGATGACTTCTACTGCTGCAATTATGTTGAGCAATTACAATTGTTACGGAATGCTGACTGCCAGATTGCAACGGGTGGCGATGAAATGGGGAGAACTAAGAAGTATTACTCTTTCTTACCTGAAATTTGTGTGTGACCCGCCTTTTTTCTTTCAAGTATTTGCAGCATCAACATACCTGCTGTCACTGACTTGTGCTAAGAAGCTCCTCGGTTTCATGTTGCGTTTGTTGTCGTATTTGTGTCGACCTCGCATTTCCAACAACGTTCACTCGCTTCGCCCACCAATTCTCCAATACTCAGCAGAGACTGGTAGCGTCCGCACCAATGCATGAGTAGTACCTTGGAGGAAGGAGCAAAACCTACTCCTGAATACAATAGGAAATAGGGGTGCTATAATCCTGAAATCCCTGACAAATGTGCAACTCTACATCCTGACCGGGCCACGAAGTATAGTCTGGCGTGTTCCTATCATGGTCTGGAGCTGTCCACTCACAACGCTGGTTTCCACCGCAATGTACATCTCCGAGTCCATTTTGAGGACCTAAACCCTCACGGAACATAGTCCATGACGCACCGCGAATCAACCACTACTAAGAAGCGAATACTTGTTTCTTATCGACGACCCTGGCCCGGTTTAAGTCAACAACACCCAGAGCTGGCCACCCCATAAAAGTTCAAGTGTTACATTAATGCTCTAGTATTCTCTAGTGTCCCTGGTTCAACCCTTGAGCGGCAATCAATGCAAAGAGGCCACGCAATCCATTTTTGGCCCCTGATCGCTAACACATCCCGACTAGGTATTTTACACTACAATCCTTCTGGGCCAATCTTCCTCCTTTAACTTAACACAACCTCAGCCACTCTGTAGGATCCATTTTTTTCGTTACCTTAGGTACATCCACAAAATATTTGTTCCCAGCCCCGGGCGAGTGGAAGACAACACATTTGGCCTGTTCGCGTGATATAGCCAACGCCTCCTTTCCCGCTACTGTTACTTACTGGTAATCGTCTTCAGCCTAAGAAACGGAGTCGGAATATCTGATTCGAAAGCCTATCCTCGTATCCTCGCGACTTAACTCTGAACAGAATGTAAATGAAACCAAAAGAAAGCTCTCTCTCACTAACCGATACTGTGGTACAACAGATTACAGCCGCTGGCCCCGCAATCAATATAGTATGTCTCGAAGTCGTCCACAAAGTCTACGCATTTCTAAACAGCAGAGCCTGCTGCCATCACCAACAAAGCCGGAATGGCGAGGAAAATATCCTGGTCTTCCCCATCTTGAAGCTTACCAGCATCAACGGCCATCTGTGGACACAGGAAACAGCCCAGAGGGGCCTGAAGCCAAGTCAATCATGTCTGCCAGGCATCAAATGCAAAGCCAGAACTTCGAACGAAAAAGTCTCGCTCAACACCTAGTGGGCAGCAAAGGAAATCCAACGCTTCAGCGAAGCACACCGGTACCCTCCTTAGATAGTAATATGAGGACAGGCTCGAAGTTACTAGGCACTATCAAACGTGAGAGGCTTGGGACAGAATCGCTCCCTTCACCCCGACTGGAACAAGCAAGTCATTTTCGCAAAGCGCAGTGTGCCCAGACTCCTGAAACCGAGTTGAGTCAGTCTGACAGAGACGATGAGGAACAGAGCTTGAGCCAGGAAACCGGTTTCGATGTGGACAAAGGGGTCGCTGGTAGCAATCAGCACTCCCATTATCACCGCCAAGCGGTGTTGGAGCGTCTTGCCGCACGTCGCAATAAGAAAAGATTCAGGTACAGTCAAGGACTAAGAGCAAGAGCACACAAACTCAAGATTATAGCATGTTGAAAAATACTGATTTCGGATAGGCTTACCCATCAAGAAACAAAATTCATGATGAGCGAGTTTGCGAAACAGCCGTATCCTAGTGCAGCTCGTAGAGAGTGGCTGTCTCTTGAAATTCCTGGTATAAGCCCACGACAGATCCAGGTATGGTTTCAAAATAGGTGAGGAAAATACTTATCTCCAAGAGTGACGAATAGGGAACTTATCAAGTGAAAAGACGAGCCAAAATCAAGAGACATACAGCAGATCGCGACAGAATGCGGATAGCGGGCATTTTCAGACAATTTGACAGCGTACAAGGCTTGCATGCCCAATATGGTGCCGTTGGTGGTAGTACAGAGTCTATGACACCCTCGAGCCTGGTACAAATTGCCAAGTCGTACAAAATTGAAGCGGCAAGGCCTTAATCGCGAACATAAGACCTGGAGGAGAGTTGTTCATGTCATCCATGTCATCCACTGGGCCTTTACGGTCCTTTGGGAATATCGATCCTGGCCAATCAGGAACAATTGCCAGCTCTGAGCTTGAGCCTTCGTCAGGTTCAAAGAATAATAATAGATGCATCGTCGGCAGCTCCTGCACAGGGCCTACTCGTGGACTCGGGCACTGGACTGCAACTAGGTACTAGGGGGGTCTCGAAACCAATCCGGGCGCCGTGCACAACGTGGACAACGTGGGCAATGGACACTAGGGGCAGGCCGATCAAGGAAATGCACCTTCAACGTGCCACGTCAGTGGAGGCAATATCAGAGAAAGAACGTGTGTGTGCCATCATTGATCGTGACTACGTCATTTCTTATGGCGAGGCGGTGGGATCTTGTTTTAACTTTGAAGTTTGGAGGAGCAATGAAATAACTCGTCAGATATGTCTTTAGTGACAGTGCTTGCAATGATACCAGCAATATTTGATGGTAACTTATGCACCATTGGACATCCAAATCCCAACCAGATAAGTTCAATATCACACGGAAGAGGAACGCAAGCCTGAGGTTCAAGTGCTAAGGAGATGCATAAGATTATCTCTATGATCCTGTGGCTTTTTGCTAAGGAATCATTTTACTGTAAAAAGATCATTTAGCCGCGTCGTTCAAGATGATTAATGTCTCAGTTATTATGTAAACAGCTCGAGTCGGACTTTTCCTCGGGAATCCTCGTTCTCTCATTGTGAGCAATCCCTCTTTGTCATAGTTGCATCCGACCTTGTTCGTGCCCTTGTATCGCCACATTTAGGAGGTATGCCCTGTAAGGCTAAGGCTCATTTTCTGTTCAAGGGTTCAAAGACGGACGCATATTGATACAGTATTACAAGGGGCACAGAAATATGTACATGCAGCCCATGTTGAAAATGACGATGGGCATCAAGTGACTACAACATGTACTCTTCCTCGCCACTGGGTTGAGGTTCATGCTTTCGGAGAAGCTTGGCTATATAAATTGAACAAACAGACTCTATATAACTGCTAGGCGTCATCAAACCATAGGTTCCAGAAGCTTAGGAGGCTGGAAAGGCTTCTCAGAGTAAGATAGACGAGACGACGCGAATCATGCTGGCAGGATAAAGGAACAAGATAAATAATGTACGCGCGAAAATGTAATTAGCTAATATTAGTAATGATTTTATAACGCAACACCATTATAGGGCCCAATGTTTCTTTCTTTAAAGAAATCGCTCGGCGATGCTGCACTCCGTGAAGCGACAGGTCACTCAGTATAAGGCACAGAATATTTGCAAACTCAGTTTTCACTGAGGCCTGTCACAAAATGGTGGCTACCCTGTAACAAGGCTGCATAAGAGATTCTAGCCGCGGAATGGGCTTTTACAGGTCCTTGGTGGTGTGTCCATGTCACTCCTTGGCTGGGTCACATACATGCTCAGAACAAGTGCAGGACGGACTCCTATAACTACATTACTGTCAACACACACAATACATGGACGTCTGGTTATTTTGGAGCGTGCAGTATTATTTATGCCAAGATTGTGCGCTACCGGCTCCCAAAGCCCCTCGTGGCTGATTTTAGATCCCTGAATTAAAATAGCCTGAGGTGAAAATCTGATATAGCCCTAGCATTCATCCATAAAGATCCATCAAGTCACGCAGGTGGCCCGAGGACCAATTCTCACGTCCATGCCAAGTATTTCGGTCGCGTTATAAGAGACCGATTTCATGAGCTCAAGTTTTGTGGCAATTTGACATTATTCTTAATGTTGTGCCTCCCCTAGAACGGCTGGTGTCATGTATCATAGCTCCAAAATTTCACTGTTCAGTTTTCCAGACTTCTGATATCTATGGTTGCGTGGAAGATTCAGCAGTAAAATATCTATGGTTTTTTATGAAATTCAGTAATCAAGCCTGCATGTTCGATCAGCAGAGCCAGCCTTATCAAGCACCATGTTCAATGTATCAGACATGCCAGCCCCCCAAAATGCTAGCAGTGTACATAGCGACGTGCGTGCTGTTGGTTTTACAGATGAAATCCTGTTAGTGGAGCGAAGATCGTGGATAAGAGTCTCCAGATTTTGTTGGAATGATGGAGTAGATGCGTAGATGAAGAGAATAGTAATCTTGTGAGACTGCATGTAGAACGGGTCGGGATCTCAGCTGTTGCAAAATATGAAGGCCGGTCAATCACTTTAATAAACTCACGTGGTGTGGGGGGGAGAATCATGGCAATCTACGGATCATTGAATAAATGGGATGAATTCGATGGTTACATGGCAAACACCAAGGCACCTAGAATGACTTAATTTGAATTGTAGGGTGAAGAGGAATTAATGCGGCTAAGAGAGCTCATTTCTGGAACGATCCAGTAGGATATATTCACAACTAGCTTGGCAATTACCAAGCAGGAGTATCTGGAAGCTGAGGGATCTGTTTCAACGAAAATATAAGACATAAATTCTCTATTCAGAGTAGAAGGGTAATGAGAAAATAAACAAAATCGGCCCGTGTGCCATTGGACATAGCTAGCAACAAGTCTCATATCGTGACATATGCGATCCCTCAATTGGCTTTCGGCACTCCTCTATGTCGTCCTCTTTGTACAGTAGAAACTGAGACTGTTGAATATTAAATGCCAGATTGCAGAACAAAGGGATAACCTCCATTGTACCAACAATCTGGAATTTCCACTGTCACTGGAACGGAGCCAAATCCCCAGGCTTGGAAATCGATCGACT